TCAGTCTTTAGAGCTGATCTGCGAGCTTAGTAATAACAGGTCATGGAGGGTATTTTGTAACGACCCATTGCAACTGAATCCCCATATGGTTTGCTGGGTCCTCGAAAGGATTGCTATATGATGGCTCTTGGCACGGCCAGTGTGAGAGAAATTAATGGCTTAATTCAGTTCCATGGGAGCAAATTTCCGCAGCACAAAAATAAAATGTCGAAGCAGTTTGCCATCATCAGAATTGGCAATGCTCTTCACCTTTTTTAGTGACTGTTATTATTTCTTTATTTCTAGAGCGTCCACTGAGTGCTATTATTAACCCCCCAAGAGCGATAGCTAAAATTGTACATAGATAATGTACAAACTTGCCAATTCATGTGAAAACGACAGCCTAACTCGATAACGTGCCCTTTCCTGAGTGAAAACCAGGCTGCAGTGATACGGGCAGTGGGGCTGAAAGCGTGCAGAGGGAGAGAGCTTGGTGCCAGGCCTAGAAGGGGCCAGGGGTGATGGAAGGGGCGAGAGACAGAGCACAGCAGTTATATTGGTTACAGCTGCTAAAACTCTCCCTGATGATTAACTTAAACGCTATCACCCTACTGAGCGAAAAATGCAACCATGTGTTAAAATGACCCAACTTTTGTTTGCATGGTGTGCTGAACTTGGGCTTATGTAATTCTAGATGCAAGGTTTCCATTCAGGTTTATACACATCAACTGATCAAACCTTAAAGATGAGATTTGACTGAGGTGAAAATAGAATTCACTGTTGCTGAGTCTCAGCTGAGGGTTTCTGAGAGAGAGGGAGGGAGCCTGAGCCCAAGGCTGAGCCCAAGCACTGAGCTGCGGTCAGGCTGTGGGCACTGAAAAAAATCCCATGAGCTCTGCTTTTGCCTTGGGGAAGTGCAATCCATCTGGTTCTGAACAGTGGTTGTCATTTTGTGGTAAAACCTCTAAAAGTTAAAGAAAAAAAAAATAAGGCAAAGTGTTTTCATCATATTGGAGATTACTGTACCTTTGTTTTATTGGGGTGTGTTAGAGGTAATTTATGTTTTAAAATAAATTTTAAAAGTAAGTCAACCAAAGCTATACACAATAATGAGGACAAAACTACTTCAGTTCTGTCTTTGCACCTTTGTGTAACATCCTATTTGGTCTCACACTAGCTGGGCTGTGTATTATCTAAATATGTGAGCTACATGTAAGCTTATGTAGCTCCTGTAGACCTAGGCAAAAGCCTGGGAATATAGGTTTAAATGTCTGTCTTATTTGGAGTCTGCTATGCTGATGCAAGTTGGGTTTTCTTCCAAGCTGAGTTTGCAGCTAGACTTTTAACCATTGGCATTTGGAAAAGCCCTCCTGGAGCCCATTTGGGCATTGCAGCCATTTTTTCCTCAGTCCCAGGAGGTTCCTTCAAGCTGCCAAAAGTCATTTTTAATTGCTGCACATCTCCAGTGCTTTCCCCAGTGAGGAATGGGTACTAGGGCTCAAGTATATTTATCTCCTTTTTTTTTTTCATTCGTGCTATTGAATCTAAGCCCAGTAGTGAATCCAGCTGCCACAGCTGTTGCTGTTCTGCAGCCTGCCCTGCTTTCAGCTTATCGTTATGTTCCCAAAAAAAGCTTCTCTGGGATGTTCTGTGAAATGAACGGGACATCAAGGCGGTGCTAACTATATTCCCCCTCACTGACAAGCTCTTTTATTTTGCTGGATGCCGTGAATTTGTGTAAAGTGTTAGTGTTATATGTTCTGAAATTCACTCTTTACAGGGTGAGTTCCTTTTGTCACCTCATTCTTCACAGTACTAAAGTATTTCCTTTGCTGCAATAAGCTATTATGTAGACTCTACAAATAAGCTTCTGATCCTGCCAAATTACATTCACTTTTAAGTAAGTGAGGAAACAGCGTTATCTCTTTTTCCACTTACTCTGATATTCGTTTTCAAAGGGTTTCACATCAGTTGCCTTTTGTAAGGACCTGTACATATGGTTTTCTGGCATTGTTGCATGCACATACACTCAGTTAAGTCAAATATGTGTCGGTAGCAGTTGATAGTAAAGTAGTAGGGTGTATGCAAGTCCTATGTATGATCAGACATTCTGAAAATACAGACTCACAGTTTCAATGGTACAAGGACTTGTAATAGTCTCCTTACCTAATCTGCTTAGGATAGCAAGTAAATACTGTAATAACATTATAGTTGAATCAGACTGCTGTATATCTGCATCCTGTATTTCACAGTGGCTATAAGCACTTCCCATGGAATGGAAACAGCAGTAAACAGAAATGTTCCAGGATTTTGAAAAGTTCTTATCAACAGCACTAAACTCTCATTTAATCTGTTACATTTAGGTCAATATAAGCTTATAAGACTTGAAAACAAATATTATAGTGCCAAAATCAAAATCTGAAAGGTCTTTCTAAAATCCTTACCTATATAAAAAAATACCTCTGTTTTAATCAAAAGTATGATTTTAAACTGATGTGAACTGTACAGAGCCCTTTGTGAAGATTCTCCGTTCAATTTACAGCAGGATGATTTCTTCTTTAGCTTCAGTTGCTTAAGATTTTTTTTTTTTAAATGACACAGAAATAAGCTAGTTTTTAAATTGTGTAAGACTGTCCAAATGGTTGAGGTGTAATGGTCTAATTTTAAGACTGATTGATTGGATATACTGGTGCATCATATAAATCCTGTTTGTTAAGTCACTATTAATCATGCCTGTCTGTAGCAGAAGTCTTGGAAAAGATGAGAAAAACCATTGTGGATTTGTGATAATAGCTTGTTCTGAAAAGGATTGAAAAGTCTGTAGAGGAAGATGGTGGCTTCAAATAGCATGGGTTCATAAAGAAGGAATCCTTGCAGTACCTCAGACAGACTGCAGAGGAACAGTCTCATGGCTCCTTGTTATTAATTTTAAAAGCCTTGGACGTTCAGAGCCAAAGCTTAGTCAATTCTTTTAATCAATTCTTATTCCTGTATCTTTTGATTCAACATCTTTAGAGGCTTCAGTCAGTGTTAGTGATGCAGCTGGTCTTGATGGAAGTAGGAAATAAGCAGTGTAGACCACTGATGATACCTAGCATTAAAAAGAGATACGGAGCAAGAGATTGCCTCTCTGCAGATCTCAAAATATTTGCTAAAAATTAAAAGCAAATAGTGGGAACATCTAAATATTTAGATATGAAGCATTTAAAATATAAGACCCTTTACATAAGATGCCCTAACCATTTATTTTTTAACTTAAAGTAATAGCCAATGTTTGTGCTAGCCATGTGCAGCCACAGCAAAGAATGAGTGGTAAGGGCCATACAGACTGGGATATGACTTCTTCACCAAGGGCCATATTTTTGCCTAATTTGTGTCAGAAGAAACTATGCAAAAATTAGTTTTTTTATCTTTCTACAAGCAGAAAGATTAATATGTGATGTCAACCTGTATATTGGTCTTTAAGATATTAAGAGTCACAGTAATACTTATACCTTCTAGTCAAGATCATGGTCTTATACTTGGTCCTGTGCAAAGACATAAAGCAAGAGAAAAGGAGAATTGCCTTTAAGGATGTTGTTTAGACTTCTTGTCCAAAGTACACAGGCTGTTTGTTATATAGAAAAGAAACTTCAGTGACGTAGTGAACCCCAGAGGTTTTACCAGCTTACATCCTGGAAGTGCTACCATGTTTTAATGTTTCCTAATTAGTAACTCAACTGGTCCAGGTGAAGACCATATGACAACTCCATTTAACAAATTCCAGTTTAATTTAATCTTTTTCAAGGTTGCATTAATCATGTTTGAAGTTTGGCCCTGCTGAGCTCCTCAGAAGTAGGTAATGCTCGCTAGCTTTAAAGGGCTAAAATTCAGCTTAATGGAACATGACAGCCCCATTGCACTGAATGCTGGGTTGCTTAATTCCTGATTTTAAGAAACTTTCAAGTCTCTGCAGAAACCTTTGTGAAAGAAAAGTTTACCAGTATGGACTAACTTTGAGGAAAGCACACATGTAACTAAAGGGTGAAAGCCAAAGTCTGCATGAACTCTGGATTCAAACAGTGAAGGAATTCAATCTTATGGAAATCTGATGTTTCCGAATGCAACATCTGAATTTGTGCGCATGCTTTTTTGAATTTGAATGCTTTCTTGAAATGAAGCTTGAAAGCATGGCTAAAATTCAAAACTCAGGCTCAAGAAAAGTGACTTTTTGGAATTCTTGTAGCATTCGTCTGTTTAGTAAAATGAATATAAATCAGTTCTTCCTTTGTCTTTTCTGTCATTTAGTGTAGCAGTTCAAATACCAGCTAATGATTTTACTTAGCATTATAATTCAGCTTATTCTGTGGTGATCACAATCATCTTTGCGATGCAGAAAAAACCACCCATTTTCTTTGATGACTCTAGTGTCGTTCAACTATTAGAAATTCCATTGATGGCTGTATTAGTGACTATCTGGTGCTGTAGCTTGTTTTTTGGGAGTGTTTGGGTGGGTTACCATTTCTCCATAAGAGGCCAGCATTACTGCCCCGTCCACACATTTCCTTTTCCTTAGGCATCTCCTTTGCTTCATGGAGGGGTATCTCCACGGTGCGACCTCATGACACTGCACAGTGGGATTAGAGCAATAGCTCTGATGGGAAACAAACCGGCTTGCTCTAATGTTGGCCATCACCTAAGAACACACCGTGGGGATATTCCATTTGCGGTCAACCCTACTCATTCCTGGTTGTGCAGGGATGGCAGGTTGCTGCTGGAAATCTCCACTAATCTGCTGATACTAGAGATATCCAGAAAGCGTTTGAGTGGGCAGGTGAGGACTAGCAAACAAAAACATTTTACGAATGAAAAAAAGTATGTTTCTCCCCAGTGTGGAATTAAGCTCAGGTTTAGCAATGGCTAGAGGTCCCCAGGGCTGGCACCTATGGAAACAAGGACTGAGCCAATGAATGTTTTTTAATGGGCAGTTATATCTTTCCTGACAGTAACATTGCTCCATATCTCTTCCATTATTATTCTAGGTGTCCGACCCCTGGGTGTGATGGCTCTGGGCATATTACTGGAAATTATGCTTCACATCGAAGGTATGTAAAGAGAAGGTTGTGTTCTTTAAATCAAAAAAACTGAAGGGCTGTAAAGGACCTCAACAGACCTCTCTTCCCTGTCTCAATACTGAAGTAGGATCGAGTGCTGTACATAGACATGGGTTGGTTTAAGTCATTCTATTTATCACCAATGAATAACATTTCTCAGTTCCAACATGTATCACTACCCAAATAGGTAGGAAGACTTTTGCTAATATCTAGCAAAATCTTTGTAGAAAATGAATCCAGTTTTTCTACCTTCTCTATTAGCCCAGGGAAGCAATTCAACATTCATAAGTTTCTGCTGCTTTACATTCTGAATAACTTAACTCTTCTCCTCATAATCTTACCTTTTCTGGACTCAAATGTTATTCCTGCATTTTTTTTCCCCACAGATGATATTTCCCGATTGTTCCTGTCAATCTCTTCCAGATTCCCTCTGTATTTCTTGAAATGCAAAATTGAACCGAGTTCTTTACCTCCTCTCCTAGCTGAAGCCTTACCAGCTTTAATCAGAGGGAAAAAGTACTTTTCATCTAATATGCACCAGTCTGGTTAATACATTTTAGAATAAAGCTTGGCTTGTTTTTAAATCACAACACATTGTGCATAACTATGCCAAGCCAGAAGAACGGAAAGAGAAATTTATGGATGAAAACTGTTACCTCAACTGCCTAAACTATAACGGTGATCCTTACCAAGGGCCAGAGAAAGCTTCACATCTACTAATTAGGATATTGTTGGTAACCCCAAAATCAATTACGGCAGTACCCCTGTAGAGGTAATGTTACGAATGCCATGTAATTATCAATTCCCCTGTGGCTATTTGGGAACTATAAATCAGTAGAGAAGAGCTTCACTGTATTTTCTAAACAGCTCTCCACTGTTTAATCTAAGAATAATAGTGTAGCCCACCTCTCCTATGTTAGTAAAGGCTCTTTACTCCCATGCGTGGTAATACTGTTGAGTCTGGATATTTGCTTGTTTCACCAAGTCCCTGTAGTTTTGCAATTGGCTGTATCTAGTCAATACACAAATTCCCAGCTTAAATGTATTCCCAGTAAAAGCAACAAACAGTTTAAAGTCAAAACATAAAAACATAGAGACTGGGGAAGTGCCATACCTCTACATGCTGTAAAAATGAAAGATCACAATAACAGTTTCTGTAATGCACAGTTATGTCAAATGTACAAGTAACATTATAAAGGAGAAGATGTAAACATTTTAAAAACACTTACATGATGCAGGAGATTGAATCATACTTTCAAAGGGATTTAAGGTCAGATTTAGACTACAGTTAGCTATATGTGGATTTATCAGCTCACACCTCTACCAGCACTATGCTTGGCGTAGCTATGCCCTGACTTTGCTATTTCAGGAAGCTCTTTATGTATTTGGTCATCTGTTTAACCAGAAACAGGCAGGACAGTGAAGGTGCAGAAGGCAAAGTGTCACAAAGAAGAAACCTAAAAGCTGTCAAGGTTAGCAGGGGAGAATCACTGCATGTCGGCTCATATTTTAAACCCTTTCCCTGGGCATTGCCTCCTGGCCACTGTAGGACCAGACCCTGAGCTGGATGGTGTTACCTACTTTCCCCTGTAAATCCTTACGTTCTTGTCTTTTTGCAGAAGAGTGCTCGACAAAGTTTTCAATTGATTCTGCAGCATACTCCGTACACATAAAGATATAAAATGTAATTCTGCAAAACTAAGTGATCTGGAATTTATTCAGTCCATTTTTTTTAACATGTTCAACCTTTTGAAATGCCACCATGTCTATATTGACCACATAACTCCTTCATTTCTCTTCCAAAAGGCCTCCAGCAGCCCTGGTCCTTGGCTGCCTGCGGGCACGGGGGCACTGACAGTGAAGGAGTAATGTCATCTTTGCTTAAAACCACCAATGTTCCCAGGAAAACTGTCACATTCACACGGAGCCAGCCCCATGCTGTTCAGGTTACGATAGCTGTCAAGGCCACTTCTGAGGTGGTGAGGCTGGCAAAATGCACGGTCTTTAAAAGGGCAGCAAACCAGTAACCTAAATCCGGAGCTGTTAAGTATGAAAAACCCCACAGCACATTCACAGTTAGGCTTTCTAATTCCCACACTGAAAATTCGCATCTACCTCTGCTTGCGTCGATTTAGCATTTTTATTTGTATTTGATGCCATCACTTACAACTCTCTCAGTTTCAGAAGGAAAGGAATGACAAACTTCTCTCCTAAATGGCTGCCAAGATGCATAGACATCATCTGTATTTAAAATGGCTGCTCAACAGCGAGCACACATAAAGGCAGATTTAACTCTGCCATAACTCTCTGCAGTTCCGCACACCCGTTCAATGTATGCAAGAAGTTATATCACCGTAGACCGGTGTTGAATTTCCCTTGTTGTCTTTTATCTGCATATATAAGGAATTAAACTGATATAAAAATGAAGTAATATGTTTACTTTCTAATAGCTTTTGGTTATTATAGGATAAAAAAAAATTAAAGCAAAGGCTCATCCTTGACATATGTTTTCTTGGTGAATCTGCTGTCAGAGGAGAAATGAATTAATCATAACCTCAGAAGCTGTCTGTTGGAAATATCTGTTTAGAGGACCTGAAAGGTCTTAGAATTTTCTAATAAATCATAGTGCCAGAATAGAAAGATCTATTGCAAAAAGATGATGCACCAAAATACCAATAACTTGGTGATAATTAAATTGATTTAATATGTAGAAAGCATTAAATCATTAGTCAAGGCAGAAATTCTTCATTCAGATTTTGTTATGAAAATGTCATCATCTACAAGCATACCCATCTGTACACCTACTAAAAAAAGTATCGCTTTCTGAGGCATTTCTATTAACTATTTAGTTTTCAGATGCAAAACCTGATTATTCTTTCCCGGTGGGTACGTCTGGTGTCACAGATAAGCTAGGGATATCTGTAACTCCTGTCCTCTCCCCTTTGCTTTCTGCAGTCCAGGTTGTATGGGGAGCAATGAACCAACCTGTTCTCAAACTGCCCCCTTGCCCCAGAGCCTGCTTCCTCTTACTCTAAATCCCCCAGGCTGTGTTTCTCAAATCCCCCAGGCTGTGTTCCTCCTGCCTCTGTCTTCTTGCAGATTACGATATGATTATTTTTGAAGAAAACTATTTTTAAGTGGCACAAGCCTTCTGAGGTTTAGCTTGTACACAGAGAACCATGGTACTTTGGTGTGCACTGTGCAAGTTGGAATAAACAGCAGCTTGCTTTAAAAAGGAAGAAAGTCAGCTGCATTTAAACTAGAAAATGAAATGGGATGAGGGCACAGGTCCAAGCATCAGAGCACAGATACCTACACTATTAAACTGTTAGCATGTCCCCTGGCATGATACTGACCCTGGGCCACTGAAACTCTCCTAGGCAATTCTCAGATGTGATTTGGGGCTCAGCAGGGGTCCAGATCATTCTCTATAAGCAATATGGGTGTAGCTGTCCTGCTTTGCAGAGACAAAAAGTGTAGCTGTGCAGGTGTGAGCTTGCTGGTCTTGGGTCAAAACAGCAGTTCTAGGTCCCTTCTGTTTACCAGTACAGATGTAGCCATGCCATCTCATTAAAAGTTGCTAGGTAATACACTATGTCCAATATCTTGTGCTTTCTTTAATTGACTTATTTATGACTTTGCAGCATGTAAACTCTACTTTTGTCTATTTACCAACACAGAATTCTGTCTGTGATTGCATCACCCTTTTCTCTGCTTGTTTCTCCCAGTACTCGCTGGTCTTGACAAGACAAAATAACTGAAAATTTTGTTACCACTGTTTCTGTCTCTTCTTCCTGAAGACAGGACCTACTATACAACACTGAAGTACCTTTTGTCATGCTGAAAACAAAAATTTAATCTTCAATTTTGTTTCTTTCTCTACGGAAATTTTTCTTTGGTGACACTCCTTTGTCTCTCATCTCAGTACTTTTGAAACTGCTGTTCTACTGATGGATTTCTTTTTTAATGTTGATATGTTAGGATGGAAATAACATTTAAACAGAGGAAAAAGCATGATTTTTTGATAGACATCTTTGTGTCCTCAGATAGCAACTACTTAAAAATCTTGAAAGATCTATTAAAGTCATTGTCAAGTTCACTAAATACTTCCTATAATGAATTCTTCAAATGAAAATGGAAAGCTGAGCTTATAAAATCTTGGAATCGATATTACCTTTTTGCATCTTGTGTAGTTAAAAGCAATGTTCTCAGTGTCTAGTTAAATGTAACATTGCTTATTAGCCTAACATATAACCTTGTCTCTACCAAATCTTTTTGTCTGGGTGAGTTCTGAGCACTTAAACTCTTTCTCAGGAAGGCACTGTACAGCTCTCAGCTCTGCCGTGGTTTTATTCAACCATTCTATAGGATTCTTTCATGACGTTTGAGAGGTTTGATAGTGTTTCAAATGTGCTCCCTAGAGAAATCTTTAGTCCTACCAAGCGATCCAAAGACTCCTGGTTTTTGAGCCTGTTCTTCCATCCCTCTCAGATGTACAGAGGACGTAATGTCTCTCAGCCCTGAAACACTGGCTTCTATCCCTTTGAAAGCTGTTGCTGCTGCTGCTGAGTCAGCTGGAAGGGATTATTAGGCAGAGAGTTTAAGAGCTGCTTTCCCTGGCTCCTCAGGGGCTGCTTGTGCCTGTGGTCTGCACAGCACCTGCAGTCCTGCCCTGCTCCACAAAACGAGATACACGGATTCCCCCTCGTGGTTGCGTACTGCAGCTCTCCTTATTTAAACCACGGAGCTCTGACTTTGGAAACTGGACAGGCTCACCTATTCTGCCAGTTTTTCAGATAGAAGGCATATCCCTTGTAAACTGTACCCAGGAATGACAAATTGCATTTTAAAATGTTTTTTTTCACTCAGTCTTTCAGGCTGTCCGCGAGCAAAGAAAAGTGGAATCAGGATAGCACAAAGCAAGGAAGACAAAGAAGACCAAGAGCCAATTAGGTGAGAATAAATATTGTCAAAGGGCCTTCATGTGTTTTATAAGGTCATACATATCTTCAGCTTTTTAGGAAGGTATAAATGTTATTGTGTGGTAGCTATCCAAGAGCAGATGGCCACACTGATTTCTATGAGTGAGCTGCAAATCAAGGATCTCTGATGATTTATTCTAGCCAAGGATACAATCTTCTATAATTTAGAAACAGTTCTAAATATGTTTTTCACATGAAATAAAAAAAGATTGCATAGATCTTTATCTCCTAAAAAACCCTTAAATGTGTTTGCGTACTATAGACAAACCATACATGCTAAATAAAATAGTTATGGGAACAGAGAATTGAGTATTTATATGAGATTGCTGCAAGAAATCTGGCTGTTCATTCAGTTTTCAAGAGGAACAAATGCCTACCTGTAGGTCTTGGTTTCTTCTTGCAAGGTGCTTTGATACCAGTGGCACTGAACTCAGCGGGTTTAGTGACTACTTACACCATTCAGGACTGGATCCTCAGTAAAGATGTGCAGCAATATTTTAGTTTAGGACAAACAGTGAAGTAACCAGCCTTGTTTTGACATGTGTTATGTAGCAGCATACTGAAAAAAAAATTTATTTTCTTTAAACATTTCACTTTGAAGATTCCAACCTGTTCCTTCTAACCCTGGTTATTTGTTTTTTAGAAGTATACAGGGCAAACGTATGGGGGAATTCCCAAGTAAGGAAAACCATCAGATGAATACGGATCTGCCTTCACTGATCTCTCTAGGCTGTAGTGCATAGTTTGTTATAATCTCTTCTATTCAGAGAGTGGTTAAAGGTGCTCAGTATTTCTGATGAGGCACTATCATCACTTCATACCTAACTGTTTATACCTAACATTTTCATGACTTCAGACAAGTCTTCTTTAGATTCCATACACATAAATAAAATGTACCAAGGATAATGCTAAGTAGGATTTTATGCTTACAGAGCTTTTATGGGCAATTTCCCTGCTGAGTGGAGCTCAGTTGCCAACATTCCAATTCCAGTGTGATATTTACTGTAATGAACACCTGCAATTCAAATATATATCTCAGTCCTTTTGTTGCAATTGTACAATATCAAAAGCTGTGACTTCATCTGCTGGCTAGCCTCCTTACAGTTTATCAAAGAACACTTTTTTTTTTTATATTAGCAAAGTTCTGCTTGTAATTTTGCCCACTAAAGGGTATCTTGACTATTTTTAAGACCACAGTGCATGATTGTTCTTTTCTTTTCATGTCGGGTTTATTTTGACTTTGTTGTAGAGGCTACCAGGTATATGATGGCAAGACAATAAAGTTTATCTCATCTATCTGCTATCCAGATGTCCAGTTCCTGGTTGTGATGGTCAGGGTCATATAACTGGAAAATATGCATCCCATCGCAGTGCATCAGGGTGTCCTCTAGCTGCCAAAAGGCAAAAGGATGGGTACCTAAATGGCTCACAGTTCTCTTGGAAGTCAGTGAAGACGGAAGGAATGTCATGTCCAACCCCAGGATGTGATGGCTCAGGACATGTCAGTGGTAGTTTTCTTACTCATCGTAGGTGAGTAACTTTGGCTTATATTTTTCACTTATGCTTATTTAAATTAGATTAGCAAGATTTTAAATACAGCTTTTTGTCATGGCATTTCTCTGTTCCTTTTGAATTTCATTATTACTTTGAAAAAATAATCTTCCTACATATATTTGTAAATTAGTAGAAATAAAGACACATGATTTTTTTGATCCAAGTCTTTGCAGGTAGAGACCTGAATCTGAATCTATGTTACATGGAAAATTTTAGGGAAAAAAGTGTGCATGACAATAACTGCAAATCTTCTACTGCTTGATTGAGTTACTCTGGACAAATTACCTGAGGATAGACTTTGTAATACACATCTGAATCCCCCTGGTTTTCAGAGATGTCAAACACACTGTGGATTGCCAGACATCAGAGTGTGGAACTAAAGAATTTAGGGAACCAGTTCCATAAAAACAGAGTACTTTTATTCATTTGGTAAGGAAAATGTTCACTCAAAACAATAAGCGTAGAATACAGCAGATTAATTAAAACTAATGGACAACAAATATTTGACAAAAGAAATACAAAGCCCAATTTTTCATAAACATAGCAAAAATAAGAGAACTTCAGTGAAGACATTTTTCATAGCTTTTAAGAGATTAAGGAAGAGAAAATGGCCAGTCTATTAGGGATAAATCTTGCTGCCATTTTAGAAACTAGGTTATGAAGAAGCAAGGGTGTTCTTGGAGCTTTGGGTGGGAATGTCAGCCTGAACATGACTGTAATGCCAGAGCAAATTTCTTATTATAAGATCACTATTATAAGACTCTATTACTTGAAATATGTCAAGCCAATGTGCCTAATTTGTCATCCTTCTCCAGGCAGACCTCAGTTGAACTTCTGTACCTCTTTTAGTTAACTAAACCAACCTGATCTTGTTTTGTAGTCAGTTCTAGCTATAGAGTTGAAAAGTGTGCTTCTTCCTTCTCTTGCCTGTAACTATTTCCTTTGATTCTTTCTTTGACAGCCTTTTACAGCTTAACTCAAAAGCTTACTGCAATGTCTCCAGACTTTGTGCACGTAGATCCTATTTGTTGTTTAGGTTCAGAGCTGGTTTGCTGCTCACTGTTTGAATGGTAGATGAAGGATTTGTGTGGTTATGTGAAGTGTTTGTATGGTACGTGAAGGGATTATGGTCCATGACCTGAGATGCTACCTAAGTGGTCAAACATATTACACAGCCAGCAGCTCCCATAGGCTTTAGGGAGTGGCAGGTGCAAAAGCCCCAACCATTTGTGCAGATGTCCACATGTGGATTTAAGTTTCTGACTTTCAGTAAAATATCAGTGTTAGTGTTCATGTTTCACTTTAGCTTTCTTCATGATGGTGTAACATTTATTTAACTCAGAGATCTGTCATTAAAATTTTGAGATTATTTTACCTTTAGTTAAAAGGCACAATATAATTACTGAGACATTGCTTTCAAGGAGTATTTACATAGTATCTACATTTTCAAGGAGAAAATTCTTGGAACAAGAATAACTAACTTCTAAAAGGAATGTACTGATACTAAATTTAACTGCTTTTCAAAATTAAAGGGGCAAATGGTACCTAGATTTTTTTTTTAATAGGAATGTTTTAATGAAAAAAAATATAATAAAATTTAAATTATTTTTTTTTGCAATGGAGAAACCTAAACATGACATTTAGCCACATAGTGGCCATGTGCTTTCTTGAGCTCCATTGTCTTACATAGAAACTAAGACATGTAAAAGGCTTACCTTATAAGACCATTTTTTGGGCAAAAAGGTCCATTGTTAGAGGAGAGCACCAAAAGATGAAAGGTTTCTTAAAAAGGCTGACTGAATTAGACTGATCTTACTTAACTGTCTGGATGTAACAAAGTGCTGATATTCTAAGTTGTTGTGAGCAAGTTTAACAATTTCTTGAAGCTTCCATAAGCTATGGCAATATCAATAAAAAGCCATATTATTTTAAAAATAGTATTAATTCTCATAGAATCCTTAAGATGCTGTTAAAAGGGCTTAGTTCATTTGCTCACACAGAGAAAAGCGCTTGAAGCCACTTTAGATGCCTTAGGATAATTTACATGGCCTCCAGCTGTTGCTCAGAAAGGCACACATCTGTCAGTAGGTCCAGTGTCATATTTACCAGCCTTAATTATACTTCTTCTTAAAAGGCATTTCATGCCTGTATATGGACAACAGAATCAAACTCTCCACGTAGGACTGAGCTTCAGAACAATTCACCTACTTTAAAAACTCCTTGTAGGAGAGCAGGGTGCTTTTGCTCCTCTGCCGGTGAATGGAACCCAGAGAGTTGTTCACCTCAGCTGTGAAGTAGACACCTGCCTTTGATCAGAGCTGTACCCTAAATGTCACTGAGTACATCAACAGGGAGCAGGATTCCCCTGCCTACAAATAGGCACTTTATGCCATTGGAAGTGTTGATGGGGCATGCAAGATGGCCTTAGCAGGCTGGCAAAAATGACTGAGGATTTGTGAGACGCTCCCATTCTTCGACTGTGACAGCTGAGAGCTGAACGTGCATTGCAGGGGATCTTGTAAAGTGAATGGGCCTCGGAGCTCCATGGCAGCTTTGGCATATAGTATCCATGCAGACATTTAAATTGTCATAATCTGGAATTCAATCCCACCTAAACTACAGACTATGTGTTTCCTTACCTAAGGATGGAATATCCCCTCACTTTCAGTGTATCCATTTTAATACGCTGTGGTCTCATCTTCTACCTCTAACAACATTTTGCTGTACAGCTATGGCTGTAAATCTCAAACACCACCTTCTGAAGAGAAGCAATGCTATGACAGTTACACGCTGAAACCAGGTTTGCATAGAGCCTTTTGCAGGTATAGTGGTGTCCAGCACGCGTGGGGAGAAAGCAGGGCTATGACCGTTAACCAAGTCAGTAAAAGTTCCTAGGAAAGTAGTAGTTAAAAGTCTTCAATTTTGGCAGCACAGCTTGCTTCTCTCCTGATAGTTCACTTCTCTTCTCTAGTACAAATATTTTCCTGTTAGCAGGCTTCTCTAAGCCTATATATTGATTGCATTTGTAGTATCCATAATGTGTTATTTGAGATTTTATATTCTGCCATTCATAGGCAGCTGTTAATGTGCTATTATCCAAGCAGCTGTAATACTCAGGAAACTGGAATGGAAGACTGCCTCATGAAAATGATGCCAACTGTTGCATTAATTAAAAAAAATACACATTGAGATTTTTGAGGCAAAGATTTCTTAGAGCTGTTGTTGCACCCTGTATGCATGGTGTAATTCCAGATACCAGTGGACCCTTGAGATGATCCACAAGTGCTGGTAAATCAGTACTTAGTTAAAAACTTGCTCCAACTGGGATTACATAGCCTGGAATTTAAATATATGCATATTTATACATACATGCTTCTTAAAGGTCTTTTCCAACCAAATGATTCTATGAGTCTGTGAAGTAGAAATAAGTAGTCAACTGAAAAAGTCTCAAATTTCAGGAAGTTTTGAATCCTTCTCTATGAACAAAGGCAACAAAAAAGGTTTCTGTTCATTTCATGTTAGCCATGCCTGTCTGCAGAAATGCTTATGAGTAGTTTTATTTTGTCAAGGAGTTTTGCGTAGGAAAGACTGGCAACAGAGTGTTATCAGAAGGGAACATGTCCAGAGGAGAGCAACCAAGCTGGTCGCTGGGGTCTGGAGCACAAGTCATACGAGGAGCGGCTGAGGGAACTGGGGCTATTTAGTCTGGAGAAGAGGAGGCTGAGGGG